TTAAAAATATTTTTTAAACTAAATATATTTATGACTGATACATAAAAACAAAAATACTATACATGTTCATGGGGAGGCATGAAATTTCCATACATGTGTACATTGCGTAACACTTTAATCATATGACACTTACCTATCTTCTCAGACATTTAGAGTTGGTGAGATTTTTCAAAATTCCTTTTTCCAGCCCTTAGAAGTAACAGTGTATCATGATTATCTATAGTCACCCTGCTGTGCAATATCACACCACAACTGCCTTTTTTAACACACTTTTAGTTGTTCTTTTTAGATATACATGAAAATAGAGTGTATTTTGACATAATAAACATACCTGGAGGGTAGCTTATTCTAATTAAGATCCCATTCCTGTGGTTGGACACGATGTGGAGTTTCACTGGTCATGGATTCATCTAGGAGCATAGGAAAGTGATGTCTGGTTCATTCCACTGTCTTCCTCTTCCCATCTCGCCTCCCTTCACTCCTATGTCACCATAGCTTAGGACCCACTGATCAACCTTCCCCAGTCCTCCCCACCCGACTCTCCCCACCTTATGGTAACCACCCATTTATGCTGGACTTTCTGTGAGATCAGTTTCATTAGATTCCAGGTGTGAGTGAGACCGTTCAGCACTCATCTCTTTGTGCCTGGCTTAGCTCACGTAACATAATGATCTCCAGTTCTTCTCAAGAGGAAGAACATATCACCAGTCATTGCCCTAATGAGATGAGTAGGGCACGTTTCTGAAGAGCATAGGGAACAGAATGTCGGGCCTGATCTGAACAGGCCACTGGTGAGGCACACAACTCACCTTTTTTGTGTGTGTGTCAATTTGTTATTATCATCTGAATTATAAATGTTTTTATTACCAAATAAGCACACCAGGAGTACTAAGTCAGCTAAGGCTCATTGTCTGCTCAATGTGGGGCTTAGTTAGCTAAGCAAAGTTGATGTGTCCCAGTGGCTCCTGGACTATGACGTAACAATGATACTGTGTGGAAATAAAGGTGGGTTTATTGGACCTCTTAGAAATCTGTAGGATTTAGATATACTATCATGTACACAAGCAAGGCCCTCAAATTCCAAATATGACCTGCATTTGGAGCATTGGTCTCTGGAGAGGAGCTCAGCACTTCAGTCACTGTGGTACTGAGACCCTGCTGTGTGATCCTGGGACTGCAATTGAGGCCTCTTTTGAGAAAGCTAAGGATGTCACCTATGAGGGCTCTCATTCTCCCAGAGTCAAGAGGGCCTCATTACTCCCTCCTACTGTACGGACAACCAGGTGACAGTGTGGAGACAAGAAGTAAGAGGGACTCTACCAGACCAGTTTGATTGAGCATGACACAAATAGCCCAGGGCCCCTGAGGCTGGAGTTCAAACCCCATCACACCCATGCACTCAGGCCATGCCTTGTGATTCCGAGCAGATCTCATTAACCTTCTATCTTCTACCCAAGGCTGTCTTACGAAAGGTTATTACATCTAAAAATACTTGATCGTATTGATACATTGACTACCGCCTTTGGTCATAGACAACCTTTGCATTTCAACTCCCACACCCACTTGTGGTGTGACCTTGCTCATGTCACTGAGCCTTTCAGTAATTCATTCTTTTTCCCTGGAAAAGAAGGAAGAAAGTGGCTGTCTTTAGAAGTTTCTGTAACAAATGGGAGAGGTAAAAGTTATTTTCACTGTGCCTGGCACTGAGCAAGTAAAATGTTAGCTTTTGTTCTTAGCAATATCACTATTTAGGGCTTGTGCTCATTGATCCAAAAACTGTTTATTGAGCACCTTCTACATGACAAGAACTATTTTACTAAGTGATGTCACCTGCAGTCAATTATAGTTATATTACAAAGATTAGTAAAAAGTGTTGGAGTGTTCACATCTTTGCCACCAAAGAATTGATGTGATAATAACACCAATAAATACACATCTCTGGCACATATATCATACACACGTATGTACCCTCATGTCTGTGTACTTCTATCTCAGCATAGCTTTCCTATATTTTGTGTCATGTAGCATGAGATACAGGCACTGAAAGTTTAGATGTGGAAACAGGAGTGTAACAAACAGGAGAGGTGAGCACTACAGAACAAGCTGACACTCATTACAGAAGACTTCCTGGAGAAGGTGATTTGAGTTGGATCTTAAAATGTCCCTTGGTAGGTAGACACTTTCCTAGTGAGTCCATGAACACCCATACATCTTCCTCCCAGTACCTTTTTTTCTCCTGGGTAACACCCTTTATCCCATTGGTTCATTTCACTCAGCACAGTGGTTGGTTCTGAAATGTACCTAAGTCCCAGACAGGGCCAATGAGAATGAGGCATGTGTTTTATGGTGGTAATGGTGGCAATCAACACTCTTTCTGCAGAGCATGCATAAGGGAGGATGCCAACTTGCATCTGGTGAGGGGACTCCAAGAAGGTGAGGTTTTCAGGTAGAAAAGCAGAGCCAAAAGATGTCATCTGGACGATGCATTTAGATGCTATGATTTGGAGATGACTTGAGTGTGTTCCCTAAAGTTCATGTGTTGAGGTTGTGGGACCTTGGAGAGGTGAGGTCTAATGGAAGGTGGTTAGGTCATGAGAGTATGAGGGCATCTTTCTCAGAGAGAATTAATGTAGTTCTCAAATGATCCCAGTTAGTCACTGAGAGAGCAGGTTATAAAAAGAGTGAGCCTGGTCCCTAAATATCTCTTTCTTCTAATCTCACCATGTGATTGCTCTCTCTCTCTCTCTCTCTCTCTCTCTCTCTCTCTCTCTCTCTCTCTCATGTTCTCCCACCATGTTCTGATGTAGTCAAAAGGCCCAAACAAGATGCCAAATGTCTGGGGCCAACTAATCTTGAATTTGCAGTCTCCAAAAGTATGAATATAATAAACTTACCCAGCTTTGGGTGTTTTGTTATAGCAACACAAAAATAGACTTAGACACCACCCCATCAATGTACCTGATCCAGACATGACTTAACGAATCCTGATATTGGACTGTTTCATTATTCCAGCAAACAAAGTCAATCCAATTTGAGTCGGATTTTCTGGAGTAGGAATTTTAAAAGATAAAGACAGAGAATATATTTGAATAAGCCCTTTTCCGTCACCTCAAGGGAAAAACTGGTGCAAAACTTGCGCAAGGTGTACTGAAGGAAAACTATTCTGGGATTTGCATTGGATATTTGTCTTCTTTGTCCTCTTGGAGCACCAGGCTCTGCTGGTCCCCTTAGCTGTACATTAAATTTCCCATTTCCTTTTTTATACAGTTTTAGTAAAACTAAAAAAAAAAAGCTATATATTATATATATATTTTTTCTCAGTTCTCCACCATATATAACCTATGAATCACCAGGGGAATTGACTTTCTTCCAGGATTTCCACAAAAATAAGACTTGTATGTTGTCTGGGGAAGTGAAGCCCCAACAGTTGTCTGTTGCTGTGAAGATGGTTCAAGCTTGATTTATTCCAGTATATTCTGTTCTGAGTTTTCCCACATCTGAATGCTATTTTCTCTCCCACAGTAGCAAGCAAGTATTTACCCTGATCACTTTTTATAGTTAAAGGAACCCCATGTATGGGTCTGAGCCAAGAAACTTCCATTAGAGGGGAATACGGATGATGTGACACTTCCTGTGTTGCATTATTAAGCATCCCCATTTTCCTCAGCAATTTCAGACTCTAGGTTTAATGTTCCTTAGTCAGTCACATGGCTACCTTGTTCACATCCTTCTCCTCATTGGTAATGCCTCCTAACTAGTCCTCCCCCCACCATTCAAGAAGCAGACCTAGTCTTCTCCCTTCAATAAACATTTCTGAGCTGTATTCTAAAATAATGGCCTGGGCTCTCTATTTAATATCCCTTGAGTCTCTTTAAATACCTGCTTCCACCTGATTATTTTCTGTAAATTTTGCTCCCCCACTATCTTATAGGATCTATTGAAAACACATCTCCTACCTCAATCTCTTGGGAAAGTATGGGTGGTTAATAAATGTATGTTAAAGTGAATTTAATTAAACTAGAAGTGAAGTAATGTCAAAACCTTCATTAGTAAAATAATTGAGTAAACTAATGTCTTCAGACAGGTGTAGTCCCAGGATTTGTAGTAGGTAGGCAGCATTTAATGATTTGAGCATCCTCTAAGATGGAGATGGGCACTAGCTTCGTGGGCACTCTGATAGTTTGAGCAGCATTAATAATTTAGGTGCTCTATTTGGAGAGGACTATGCCATGCAAGAGTGGGAGGAAAAGGCAAAGTGACTCAAGCTAAGAGAGGAAGGAGGAGAAAAATGCTAGAACACAGCTAAAATCTTGACTGCTATTTAAAAAGTCTCCAGCTATCAATTTTATATGCAGAGCATGTCAAACACACAAGTGAACCAGAGGATATTTTTTTTACTACCAATGAAGAAAAGGATGTTTTGTGTTGTTGTTGTTGTTTGTGGGGGGGGGGTATTAGGAAAGCATTAAAAATTACAGGTATTAATTAAAATTTTGGAGAATTTTTAAGCATTTGGGACAGCAAATTTGAATTGTCACTGGGTAGATTCATCCCTGAAGTGGTTTCTCTCAGACTTTATGCAGTCTTGATATGGAGAAAGCAGAGTTTCCATGAAATTGTACAGTTATAATGAAGGCAAGTGTCTTGGGAAAAGAATGTACTTTATATGCCAAAGTTGAGATAAAGAAAAGGATGGATTACACTAGCATCTCAGATCAACAGATATTTACTGTGGCCCCCACACTAGGTGCAGGGTGCTAAGCTGGGAACTGTGGAAATACAAACAGGCTCAAAGCACTGTCTGTCCTCCCTCTTATCCCCCCTAAGAGGAGCTCACTAAGCAAAGCAGAAGACAAGATAGGAACCTACGTAAAGGTACACAGTGATCTAACATCTGGTGAATGCAAAGAGGTAACGAAGGCTGTTACCTGCCTTAAATAGCTTACAGCATCCATAGTGAACAAATCCACACTAAATTGTATAATAAAAACTTGCCTAGGGTGCTTGTTTCAACAGCACAGATACTAAAATTGGAAAGATACAGAGATTAGCATGGCCCCTGTGCAAGGATGACATGCAAATCCGTGAAGTGTTCCATATTTCTAAATTGGTGCAATCAATATGGAAAGCAGTATGGAGATTCTTTGGAAATCTGGGAATAGAACCACCATTTGACCCAGCTATCCCTCTTCCTGGTCTATACCCAAATGACTTAAAAACATCATACTACAGGGACACAGCCACATCAATGTTTATAGCAGCACAATTCACAATAGCTAAACTGTGGAGCCAACCTACATGTCCTTTAGTAGATGGACAGATTTTCAAAAAATGTGGCATGTATACACAATGGAATATTACTCAGCAATAAAAGAGAATAAAATCACAGCATTTGTAGATAAATGGATGGCATTGTTGAAGATAATGCTAAGTTAGCCAATCCCAAAAAATCAAATGCCAAATGTTTTCTCTGATATAAGGTGACTGACTCATAGTGGGGAAGAGAGGGGGAGCATGGGAGGAATAGATGAACTCTCGTAGGGCAGAAGGGTGGGAGGGTAAGGGAGGGGGCAGGGGGTTAGCAAGGATGGTGGAATGTGATGGACATCATTATCCAAAGTACATGTATGAAGACACGAATTAGGTGTCAACCTACTTTATAGATAATCAGAGATATGAAAAATTGTGCTCTATATGTAATAAGAATTGTAATGTATTCCACTGTCATTTATTATAAATAAATAGCCCATTAACAGCAAAAAAATTGCATAGGGTTCATGGCAATGAAGAAAGTTTTATAATATTGGCAGTGCAATTATGATTACTACACGAGATCAGAGAATGGAATGTGTGCTTTATGTCCAGGTAACAGGAAAATCTTTGTTGAGGATGTACATGCTGAGTGACAGTTAACAGTGGGTAGGATGGACCGAGAGAAGGAAGTCAGTCTACAGAAGCTACTGGACTATTGGAGAGAGCACACAGTGGAAACATGGAGACTGGACTTCAGCTCTGACCTTTTCCCTCAGAGTCTCAGTTTCCCTGTGGTCCCCAGGAAGAAGAATTAGAAGATACTCCCATTCAATTCCAGATCAGCATTCTACAAGCACCAACAAATGGTTGGAAAAGATGAGGTTTACAGGAAGTAAGCGTGAAATACGAGAGACACTAACTCAAGAAATGGAAAAGGAAAGAGTGTTCTCCTGTCTGAAACACAGAGTCAAGCAGCCCATCTGAGATGCCTAGAACACTGTCAGGTTGGACAAATTGTGCCCAAATGACTAGCATAGTCTTGAGGATTCTTATTTATGTAACAAAAATTTTTCCAAAAGAAAGAGCCTCAACAAATGAACTTTAAGACAAAAAGGCAATTGCTATTGAGAAAAAGTGTCCTTCAACATGATTTTTAAAAAGACAAATATATGAAAAAAATGTTCAACATCTCTATCAATTAGAGAAATGCAAATTAAAACTAAACTGAGATTTCATCACACTCCAGTGAGAATGGCAATTTTCAAGAATACAATTAAGAATAGATGTTGGCGAGGATGTGGAGAAAATTGCAAATTGTGGTTGCAAAATGATGTAACCACGATGAAAGCAGTATGGGGATTCCTTAGAAAACTTGGAACGGAACCACCATTTGACCTAGTTATCCCACTCCTGGGATTATACCCAAAGGCATTTAAATCACCATACTACAATGATGCAGCCATATCAATGTTAATATCAGCTCAATTCACAGTAGCTAACCTATAGAACTAACCTTAATGCCCTTCAACAGATAAATGGATAAAAAAATGTGGTATTTGTACATAATGGAATATTACTTAGCCATAAAGAAGAGTGAAATTATAGCATTTGCCAGTAAATAGATGGAACTGGAGAATAAGCCAATCCAAAAACACCAAAGGCCAAATATTTTCTCTGATGTGCAGATGCTAATTCACAATAGGACGGGAGGAGCAGGGTGGGGAAGAATAAAAGTACTTTGTATTAGACAAAAGGGAATGAAGGGAAGGGAGGCGGATTGGGAATAGGAAATATAATGAAATGAATAGGACATTACATCTTATGTGCATATATATTCACAACTGTTGAAATTCTACATCATGTACAACCAGAAGAATGAGAAGTTATACTCCATATATGTGTAATACATCAAAATCCATTCTACTACCACATATAACAAATTAGAGCAAAATTTTAGAAAATTAGTAAAAAAAAAAAAAGATCAATTCACTAGAAAAAGAACTTTTGATCTTAGAGCATAGTTTTCAAATGTAAATATAGATAAAACTGACAATAACAAGAAGAAATAGAGAAATCTAAAAATGAGTATGAGTACATACCTCACCTCACAAGCTCTGAGAATTCAATTGTATAAGGAATTAATCAGCATTCTGTATGTGCCTTTATGTTACCTTTGTCATCTTAAACAATATAAGGGTGATAAAATAAACATAAAGAATGCTGGAAATAATCATAAAAAATCCAAACTTTCAAAAATGAAAAAAAAGATTCTTTACATTTCTTCAGAAAATTTGAAAATAATAGGTGAAATTAGTTTATTGATTGAAGAAAAAAATCCTCATGGATACTAAAAATCAGTAAAAAGTCATCAATATTTTATTGGATATAAGCAAATTTCCTAAAGGAAATATTAGCAAAAAATTGCAAGTACTAGTTTAGTTGTATACGGAACTAGAAGAAAAGAAAAAATATTATTCAAACTTGCAATTCAAGATTTAGAGGGCTGGGGATTTGGCTCAAGCGGTAGCGCACTCGCCAGGCATGCATGAG